CCCCCCCCATCCCATGGAACAGCGTGAGTGTTCACGCCGACGATCCCCACCATCGCCTCCACCGCCGTCGACCTCGAGATAGCCGAGGAGCAGCCGCTGCTCTGAAGCAAACGACGCCGCATTCTACGGTCGGTCGTTGACGGATTCGGAGTGCTTGTTTCTCCGCTCCGATCAGTGTATAATCGGCGTGTGCATCTGTGCTCCTGCGAATTTATACGATAGTGTCGGTACGTAAGATTAGCGTCGTGCAAATTTTTCGCGATATTTTTCCCCGCCGATTCTCGAGATGAATCGAAGCGCGCGGCAAAAAACGAGCGTCGGCCGATTTTGCGAAAACAGTCGCTCGTAGGTGTATGTCTGTGTGTGACTGTGTGCGTATGTGGTGAAATATATCAGCAGTGATCATGCCCTGTGTGTATGTGTGTACGCGCCGATCTGTGGGCTACTTAAAATGCTTTTTGCTCGGCCTTTGCTGTCGGAAGCTGGGAATTCGGCAAGACGCGATCGCCGATGGTTTGCTAAATCTCGATGGAGCTTTCGAGATGATTAAGAATATATAATCTATCTTATTAAGAATATAATAATCTTTGTGTCAATCAATTAAGAATAATCTTTGTGTCATGAGAAAAACGGATTTGCAACTAAGATCTAGGGCAATGATTTTGTACGCGTTAATTATTCTCTCAAACTTGAAGACATAGCTGGGAGTCTGCGTGAATCTTTTTTTGTCCGCTTCTCTGTTTCTCATATGGTCGTAAGATTTCGCTCTTTTTGTCACAATGTCGCAAGATTGTTTTAGCGATTTCTCATCTTTCTCGACTTTTTCGCACAGAGAAGATCAGCGGTTCATTACAAAATAAATTTATGCGACTCGTTTTCTTTCGGAGTAGCAAACTATCATCTCCGTGACGAGCGAACTGCGATCTTTGCAATTTCTGGATTTTCAATTATCTATTTCCATGACTGTTTTCCTGATTTTATGATTTGTTACATGTACATTGAATTACATGAACGACAATGTAACGACAATGACATATGTAGACAATGACATATGTAGCTGGCGTCATGTTTCGATTTCGCGATTTAATCAAATCAACTTGCGCGATACATCGATTGACGTACCAGGTTGAACAATAATTTTAGGCTTTGTTGTGAATTCTTTATGGGGCGCGTGAGAAAGTGGTGCGGATTTAGTGGGGGTCCACATACGCACCACCGTGGCCGCCTGGCTAGCTCCGAGTTCCGGATGGCAGCATGGCGCACACCGTCGCGAGGGGTAGATTGAACCGCTCCGCACCCTGCGATCAATAAACTCGCCGAGAGGGAGCAGCCCCGTGACGAGCCGTTCAACTCCGCCACATTTTGTCTCCCTTCTCCCTTCTACGTCTTTTCATCCCCTCTCGCGATCGCTTTCTCTCCACCTTCCTCCCCCTGTCCGCTTGCTCGCTGTTCTTCAGCCGTAACCCTTGCTATCAGCGATTCAGCACGTGCACTTCTACTCCGTTTCGCAACGAGATAGCGCTTTTGCGTTCTGCTGCAGATTATTGCGGACCAACGAACGCCAAAGAGACTCCTGGCTTTTTAAAGCTTTCCTCGCGATTTTGACCGTCTGTTCTTGCGGAGCGTCGATACTGCGGGAAAAGCAAAAGCTGTAGGAAATATTTCATATCAGACATTATTTTATTTTAATTTCCAATTATAAAAAACAATTAGAGCAAAGGATTACGATATTATTAACGATCGGATCTAAAATTAAATTTGGTTAATGTTTTTGAAATAACAGGGATTAAATATCCGAGAGATGTTCTTTAAGAGAAATCTTTAATTTTTTTTGATCATTTATTTAGTGTGCGCATCAACAAACTTTTTTCTTTTTTTTCAATCTTTTGCCATGTGATTGATAATAGCCACACAAGTCTACAAATATGTAAAATAGATACAAATTTAATATTGTTCCATGCAATATATTAACTATATTTTTGTGTTAACATAGTTAATCTCTGTCAGTATTCCCTTAATTTATAACGATAAATTCTTTGATGATTTGATAGAATAGAAGAGTCCTTGAATAATAATTTAGTTTCGAGATATTAATCTTGTTACTCTTTCAAATCATATTTATGATTTCTACAAGCAAAGAACGACCGATTACATGACACTTTGGGAGTCATAAAGATTAGCTTACGTGAGTTCTTAATGCATGCTAAAACACCACACGCGTTGAAAGCAATCGTGCCTTTAACGCGTGTGTTACCAACCAATCAACATGAAACTAAACGAAAGTTTTTTGATGTTTATTTGCCAAACTTAAGCATTCAGCTTAATAATTAAATATTTTCTAGAAGATTTTTTTATAATAGCTATTGAAATATACCATCGAGACGAACCATCGGCGATTGTTTCACAGTTGGTGAACGTATTGTTCAATCAGTGTATTTTATGTGAAATTAGGTGAAAATCAAAGAGAGAGAGAGAGAGAAAAAGTGCGCTCAGAAGGAACGAGATAAGGATGTGGCGAGAACATCCAGGCGGGGGGTATAAGATACCCGTCAACGTCATGCTCCTGTTAGTTGCTGTCCTGGTATCGACAACGGGTGAGTCAACTTTAAACTAAAGATCTCATTCACACTGCATTTCTTGGCGTGACTCGACGATAATTACCGAGAAACATTGATGGATGCCGGTCATGCGATTTACATCAAAGATTGGAAAGATGTTTATACGAGAGAGACAAGCCATGACTTTTATGTATTAAATGCATAGTAAGATGCAATTAGTATAGGACAAATTTCTAAAGCAATAATGATATTGTAATATTAATATGATATATTTTATATGTGATGAAGAAAAATTATAAGAATTAGATTTAGAAATGAATTAAGAGATTATGAGAATAATTCAAATAAGTACAATTTTTGCTATAGAAAGCTGTACGGTTTTTAAAAATCTTGTGTATCGCAGCAATTTTTACTACGTTTCAGAGTTATTCATAATTTCTTATGCATAAGTTATCTACTTGACATACATTTGAATATATTACTGCAATATTTTCTGAAATATGTATCTCAGCATATCAAATTAATTCGTCAGCTGATGCAGCAGTCCGTTCTTGATAATACACGCGTGCTTTCAATATACATAATACAATATACATACAATATACATAATAGATATTAAATATCTCCAGAGATATTTTGCTAATTATCATTAGAAAAATTATCAAAAAATATTAATTCATTTTTATTAAAATACAAGAAATTTTTGTTATTTATTATAAAGACAAACAATAAAAAATTGACATTTTAAAAATATAATTATAAAATAAAATAGGATTATCGCGATTTTTAAATAATTACGATTTTTTTCTTATTTTTTGTGATCCACTCTGAGGATCTACGCTGCTGCTTTTTTTAGCGTGATCTCATCCGCGTATTTTGAACCTAACAGGCGGTTAGTTGGGACCGTGAAAGGTTCTGAGTATAGGTAGAAACGAATCACGAGACGCAGCTGCCGGCAGAAAGACTAAGATGAAGGGGATGAGGAGATCGAGGGAAAGGAACAGCTGCTGTTCCCAGAATGCAAGCATCATGCTCACATCATGCTTCGGAAAGAATTGCATTCGGTCGCGAATACTCACCACCAGGTGAATCAGCCTGTTATGCGAAACCTCCATACTTCAATAAGAGAACTTTATCTATTATGAAGTATAGTGGCATCAATCTTGAAAATTCACGAACTTTCTATTCGATCTTTGAACTGAAAAAGAAGATAGAAATTGAAAGTGATTTAATTAATCTCATCAATCAAAGTTATAAAATCAAACATATGTAAAACATTTTAGATTTTGTTTCAACCGAATGATGCTGATTATGAATATAAATTGCAATAAAAAATTTGGATAGCAAACTATATTGTACGCTATTAATCAAATTTTAATATAACATTATTTTATTGAATTTTAATAATCTTTTTATATTGGATGATACTGAAAATTGGTTGCATTTACTGTACTTTGAACTAGAAAAAGTCACACGCTTAAAGAAACATTCGTTATTTTGGTATCCAACAGGAAGTCGTAGAAATAGACGCAGTCATAGAAGCCGTATAAGATCTGAAGAGATCGAGAGTTTTATAAGCATCTTTTTAGACTTTCTCTATTAAAGCGAAGGTTATGTGCACCCTCGCAATCAATACGTGTGTAGATTATTAATAAAATATAATTTTAATAATTTTATAGTAATTTTGGAAACAGTAACTTTTTTGAAATTTCGCGATTTTCACTTGAGAGCCTTATCAATTTTAGTAACTTTTTTGTTTATTTTAGAATTTTTTCAGGAATAACCAGAAAATTTAGATTTAATTAAATTTATTTTCTTATTTGGTTAAAGATAATTAAATGTTGGAACAAGATTTTATTATGAATAATAACTTATGACATATAATCCAGTAAAATAAAAATATATACGAATTTATATTAAATCCTCCTTCTGACACTTCTAAGGTTGCAAATTTGACTTTAGATTAAGAAAAGATCGAAGCATAAGTTCCATCAAAAGATCGCTTAATCGATGACTTTATGATTTCGAAACATTTCCCATTATTATGCACGTCACAATGTCTTACGTTCCGACACGTACAGGCGCGAAACTAATATGAACACACATGTGAGCCGCACGTGCAGCGATCACGCGTGCGCGTGTATGCGTGCTGGAAATATATTCGATGCAGCGTGTCCGGACGTTTCAAAGAGCTATATCTATATATAGATTACACAGCGGTTGTCGACCGAGAAGAATCTCGTCTTTCATCGGGGATGCATAAGAAAGTTCAATTTCGGAAAAAAATTTTACAATGTACTTTTGCGACCGATATCCGCTCATACAAACGTACTACATCTATCATGTATAGCCACAACAATACTCTGACACATGAGCCATTATTGCACCGTGCACGTGTTGCAGAAAGCATAAATAACGTAACCCTTGGACATAAATGTGCCATCATCATTGAAACGTCTTGTGTATGTATGCATCCAGTTAATCATTATAATACCTAAATATTAATTTAATTCTTCTGACGCTTTCGATGCCTGATGCTATTGTAATGTTTAAACGTCATCAGCTTAACATGGAGATATTCAAAACAGAGAAAGAGAAAGAGAGAAGAAAGAATATTCAGTAATAACATCAAAAAAAGAAAATAAAAATATAAACTATCATTATTTATATACTTTCTTTCATCAAAAATAGGTATTAAAAAATATGATACTTTATTTCTTGTGTTCTATTTAATCCATCTGCTACGATTTAATGCAATTCTACTCAAAGAAAGTTACAATCGGCATGCGAATGGATCGCATGTAAATTTAGAAGGCGCGAGACGAGGATAAGCGACAAAACTGTGAGATGAAGTTTGAGTGACAGAGATAGCGCAGATCTACAAAAATTCTGAACACCTGTTCTTTATACCTGTGTGTATGTATCCTGTCGTTCACTCCAACGGTGCGCGCTTCGCCCAACCGGTTCTTCGTGACTTGATTTTATACTGCACCAGGTTTATTTGCTCTCACTTTACTGTAGCCGTTGTCGTAGGTGAATCAGTAGGTGGTTATATGCGAAGAAAGTAGCACGGTAAATTCCTATATAAATTTTGGATGTTTTATACAGAACGATTTGCATTATTAAATATTCGCTACAACTTATCGTTACAAATATGTTACAAAGATGTTAATTATTTTTATAGATAAATAAATAAAAATCGTGAGAATTTTTTCTCCAAGATGAGACATAAATTAAAAATTATAATTATGTGGATAGAAAGTATATCATTATTTTTATATTATATTGAAATCACACAAATAAAATTGCACAATTATTATAAAAATTATTCTCTATGCTTTATAATATTTTTTACAAATATATTCTTTTGCTTTTTATTATTATAAATAGCTTTTCATTATTATTATTATAATTATATGGATAAAAAGTATATCATTATTTTTATATTATATTGAAATCACACAAATAAAATTGCACAATTATTATAAAAATTATTCTCTATGCTTTATAATATTTTTTACAAACATATATTCTTTTGCTTTTTATTATTATAAATATATATGCGTGTAATATGTAATATTTATGCATTTTGCAATAAGTTTACAATAAATGGTACATAATCTTCTATTGACGGAGATATTCCTGCTATCGATACTGGTATATGCGAAAGGCGTAACTCTGTATGACGGAAAAGGAATCACGCATTGTCGTCTCCCTTATGCTCCCGTGACGTTGATCGCATATTATTCAATAACAGATCCGACAACCTGTTGTTTGCTGCAATTGGCAATGCGCCAATTGAATGTGGGTGTCGCATATCCTGGTTAAAACGGATGATAAGCGAAACTCGAAGACACGAGACATAAGATCTCATCGTTCGTGATGTTTTAAATTAATTGGCTTCGCGCGCACGTGCTAATATTTCCACAAGCTATTAAGTGTTCCTTATATTTTGTTCTATTTACAAAACATTTCCTTTTTGTAATTAAAACACTGCTATAGCTTTTGGTCTTTATATCTAGAAAATTGATCATTATATCTAGACAAATTACTTAAAGTCATGGCATGTCATTTATCATTTTAAAAATTGAAAACAAGCTTCATTTATCTTGAAAGTATTATAATTACAAAAATCTTTTTAAATTAGATAGATTAAACAATTTATAATCTTTCAAAATTATATAATTTTCGAAATAAATGCTTTTGTAGCAAGAATGGCTTAAAAACAAAACGTTCGTAAAATCAATGACAATATTTGCATTTTGCTTATAGTTGTTTTGGCTGAAGATGTATCCATGGGACCGGTATTCGTCAAGGAACCTCCAAACCGAGTCGATTTCTCAAATGGAACTGGAGCCGTTGTCGAATGCCAGGCAAGAGGAAATCCTCAACCGGATATCATCTGGGTTCGCTCCGATGGAACTGCTGTAGGAGACGTTCCTGGGCTGAGACAGGTATTATATCAAGCTTTGACTTATTTTCTTTATTTGAAAATACAGTAGTATAATCAAAATAGAATTTTATTTACGATTTATTTTATCAAACTTCTTTAAAATATGTGGCGTTTGTTAAACTTCTTATTAATGTTAGCAATAGATATTCTTAAGTAGAAAAGCAGGTTTTTTAATTAAAAGTAAATTTTTTTTCATATAGGAATTTTAATATCAAATACTTTTCTGTATCATGTGAATGAAATCGTTAAATACTTATGCCTTTCTACATTCATCCACAAAATCATGAAAAACGCGTCAATTATTTCTGAGCTTGCTGCTACATGATTATACGAGTTTAGACTACATATGGTTATTGGCCTTTCGCAGGTTTTGCCAAACGGAAATTTGGTATTTCCCCCTTTCCGCGCTGAGGATTATCGTCAGGAAGTTCACGCTCAGGTCTACAGCTGTTTGGCACGTTCCCCTGCAGGTTCGGTACACAGTCGTGATGTCAACGTGAGAGCTGGTGAGTGTCATCTTTATATTTATCCATTAAATATCGTTTAGCCATCTATAGTATTTTATAGAAAATGTCCCAGAAAAAAATAGCAATTATAATTTTGATTTTAATAAATAATCTGACGAATTTTTGATATATATTAATTTCGGAAAGAAAAAAAAACATCAATTTTTTAAATATTTAATCGTAAAATAAATATGTATGCGCAGAGATAATTAAATCTGCAATTAAAATTGTGAAAAAGATAGAAGCAATTTTTGAATTTATTAAATTGAATGCAATTTGGTAAAAATAACTTATTAAAATTAAGATCAATGGTATTGTGTGTGGGAACATTTCATATAATGAAATTAAATTATTTTTCAGCAACTTAATTAATCTATTCAAATTCTTTTAGAAACAAGAATGAGTATGCTCAAAGGCAAATGCTTGTTAAATTTTCAAGTTTAGTTTAAATTCAAATTTAGTATTATAATTTTAAATGTTAAACATTTTTTCTTGAACATTTTTTATTAATTTTGTGTCTGAAAATAATTATATATAATATTATATACGTACATATATTTAAAGTTAGAATAATATTGTAGAAATATAAGATGGCTAAACATAAGAAAATTTAAAAGATATTATTTTCAGCTATGGCTAATCGTGGCACGTTTTATCGTACATTTCGTTTCTTCCACGTTTATGGAACATATGACGTTGTTCTTTGGAAGAACTTTAATTCGGTAAAAGATATTGGTATTAATTCGATAATTTGATTAATAATATTCAAAAGGTCAAGAGGCTACAATGTATTGCTCTTTTAAATATCTTGCAATCTCTGCCGCCGCCGTTTATGCGAATATATATTAAATTTGTTCTCCAGTCTCAATCTGCTCGCAAGTAATCAGGAAATTACTTTTTACGATCGATATAATCACATTTCTAGGTGATGTCATTATATTTCTTGCGAAATTGAAAATACTTCTGAATCACATGCAATGATGTCATTAGACTTGACGTCATGTCGCTTTATCGACCAGCACAGTATCCAGTAGCATCCTTATTTTTCATTGTTTAAAAATAAAAAAAATTATATATATATATATATATATATATGTATATATAAATTTTCTTTGCAACATATTTTATTTAAATATTATCTTTTTTTGTGTGACAAAAATATATAACAATTATTTAATAGCATTATATTTTAGCAATTAAATATATTGCCATTATAAATCTAGTAGCAAAATTTATTAATAATGTTCCCATATTAATTAGATTCAATCTTAAAAAAAAAATATTTATTTAACAAAATTTTTGTTTCAAAAAATATATTTAAAAGATTCTTGTGTAGATTTCTATTGAGGCTGGAGTGAATTCACGTATTTGACACACCGTGAACGCTATTTTTTGTATGCAAAATTATAGTGGTGGCGCAGTATTACGACACCGATGTCAATAAGGAATACGCGATTCGTGGGAACAGTGCCATTTTGAAATGTGTCGTTCCCTCTTTCGTCGCCGATTTCGTCAAAGTCCTATCCTGGCATACAGATCAGGGAGAGGAATTCGTACCTGGCGATGACTTTGGTATTATTGGAAGCATTCGATCAGTAAACTAAAACCGATCTCCTTATATTTTTGCGAGCAGAAAATTTCGTTGTTGCATCTTTGAAGAGACATACGATTTATGTCTCGATTAGTATATAAATTTGAACAAACATTATGATTCATCATGATTTTATAATCGTTTAAAACATAGAAAATTTCGTAATAATATAACTTGCACATGCATAATATAAAAGCACGTTTTCGAAAAAATATAATAAAATTATATTGGAATATTGTCGAAATTATACTGACGTTATCTCAATTGATTTATGTCTCTCAGAGAGACAATTAAGAAATAATGTTGTTATTACGAGTTCGTATGTTCCATTTCGAGGCCACAAATGCATCGTGTCGTTCGGTTGAATAACTGACACCATCCGTGCGACTCGGGCGCTTCTCGTATATTGATCTCAATTGCCATCGTGGCGAAATGCAAATCCATTTGGAGCGCGAAAGTATATGGGTCGTTCACTTTCCACTTCCACGGCCAACACGTATATACGCCTGCATCGTCATTCGTCTCGTTAACGTTATTCCCAACTCAATATATCTAGCGCGTTAGCCGAAACAATCGGATATTTGATCGATGTGTCCGCTATCCCTTTTGTTTTTTCTATTAAACCACACGGTTATTTGATATTTGTTTCTGGCGCGTTACCTGTATATTGTAAATGTGTCAGTTTGTTTAAATAATATTTACTTTAGTCTGGTTTCTTCTTTCCATTTGAGAAATTAATGATATATGTATCGTACAATGTTAATTAATTATAATAATAAAAATAATAATAATGATGAATATTTTTATATATGTATATAGTAAGTATTTTATAAATTAATTTTTGCTTACAACATATTATATATATATACGCGGATTTGTTATTACATTATGTGATCAATATCTTATAAAATTATAAAGCATTTAAGTATGTCAATTAAGGCAATAGTAATGCAAGCAGTTTAATTTAAAAATTTTTGAAAACATCATATTGACTTATCAATATGCGTATACGTACGCATGTATCGGGGTTGGACATCAATCGATCGTATACCCTCATGACGCCCGTTTATTGGCGACTGCGACATAAGATGCGACAACGCGAACTATTCTGCTCGCAAAGCGATGGCAAAATATATCGCCCAAAGCTGTCGTCAACGTCGTTTCATTCGGTTTAAATAAAAAATTAATTTCTTGCGCGCGCGCGTGTTTAAAAGTATCATTTGTCAACATATATTTTTGCATTGTAAAATTGCATTTTAATCGAGCAGTTTCAAGCAGCGTTGTCATAAAGTACAATTTGTTGAAAATATTTTGATAATTGTATTTCCAATCATTGGAAACTAAAGTGCCACGAGAGTGGACGCCTATCGCTCAATAGCAGAAACGAGCACACGCAGATTATTTCGCCCGTTTATTACAGTGGTGCATCAGTATTATCAGTCCGAAGTCAACAATGAATACGTAATACGCGGCAACGCGGCTATTCTTAAGTGCAGTATACCGAGCTTCGTCGCGGAGTTCGTTCAAGTCGTTGGTTGGCAGGACGACCAGGGAAACTCTTTTGATCCGGATCAGGATAACGGTATAAATCCGAGATTTTTCGAATATTTGGGAAAGTCGGAACGCGCGTGGGCAGCGAATGATAAATTAGTCAACGTCGTCGATACCGTTTCCTACGTAACAGCTTTCTCTTTGTCGCAACATTCATCGCGAATCTTGCGGATATTTCATTTAAACTAGCAAGAAATTTAAATTTAGAAACAACCTGAAACATATTAAACTTATTATTGTTCTCTTTATATATTTAAATGACTGGAAAGCTTTACACGCATTAGAGTGTTGAACGTTTTATTTAAGAAAGCTACACTCAAAAAAGTGGTATTGCAACTACAGCAAAAATTTTCTGGGTGCGCAAAATTAACTGAGGTACATAAATGATTAGCAAATACTGTGATATCGCATATGTTTCGCATTTAATCAATCTAAGTCACAGAGACAGAATTTATATCTGAACTGTTTGTGAAAATTAGAAAGAATGTTTTTCTGTGGCGCCTATCCATGTAAGGCCAATCATACTTGTTGCAATGGGACCTAAATTTTCTAGTAGATATTATTAGAATATTGCTGCTATAAATTCTATATGTAATAGACAATATTCTAACAGATACAAAAAATAGCGATAAAGTTTTGTTGTGACACCTAGAAATCTACCTATATCAGCAAGACATTTTTTTGAGTGTATGTAACTGCTGTAATTTCTTAGGTACTCCGAATCTCCGTGAGTTCTCTACTTATTACTTAAGAACCAGTTTGCGCAATTGCATAGCAGAGCATAATAGAGCATCAAATGGAACAATGTTAGCTGTTAGGCTGCAATAGATTGCAATCTCTTTAATCGCCTAATTTCCTCCAGAGAAATTTATTTCGTTTTTACGAAATGATTAAATCAACGCGCATAACAAGATATTGTTTTACGAGCGTACAATGACTTGCGCGTCATAATGATTCAGGAATGTGTGTTGTGGCGTCCAGAGTCGAGAAAATTGATTCTCCTCGATTAAGCACGCAACAACGCAACACGATGCGATGTTAGGAAGTGTGCGATGTGCGATATAGTTACACAATGCGCCATTATAATATTATCTTTGCCATTATCTTTCGCAGTCGTGACTCAATATTACGAAGCGGAAGTTGTATCGGAGTACGTAATACGTGGAAATGCGGCTATTTTGAAATGCACCATACCAAGCTTCGTCGCTGAATTTGTGTCGGTCGAATCGTGGGTGGGAAGCGACGGCTCAACCTTCAAATCATCTACTGATTATGGTACAGCACACGTTTCCGTCCATGTATTCAGAATACTTATTCTCCTATCCTTTTCCTAGAGGAATCCCTTCTTAAGAGGGATAATATGTCGGAAAGGTTTTATACTCCTTTTTTATTTTGCCTATTTTCATTATTTTATTATTCACACATTATGAGAAAGTTGATACTAATTATTTTTATTAATTTAATGGCATAAAAAATGATATTGTATCATCATCATATCAACTATATCATTTTTATAAAAATAGTATGAAGTAGAGAACTTTTATAATTTCTATTAAAGAAATAGATTTTTTTTCAATAAAAAAATTATTTATCTAAGATATTTTGCTTGTTTGGAAGTAAATAGTGTCACATATATGAGAGATTTTATAATATATATATATATATATGCCTTTTGTAAATTAAATTATTCGGATGCATTTTAATTGATTTATAGCGTGCAGACGTGTTGCACAATTTGTATGACGATTATTATGTATGTAAGGATCACGTTGGCCAATAAATGTATACAATAAGTACACAGGGTGAGGAAATTCTCTTTCCGGTCATATCACCCTCTGTATCCATGCTACTCAGACACCTCGTCCCCTTGTCCAACTTTGTCAAAGTTCAAAGTGGCACGTGGTAACGATTCGTTTCCGCTGGCCGCGCGGTCTGATAATCTGACAGCGGCTGTGAACGGCGGCGGCAGTACATACATATATGAAGGTTAATGAACCATCCGGTGGTTCTCACGCCGCGAATTATGACAGGCCAAAGAAAATAAGCCGACACCGTGTCCATGACAAGCGCAGAAAATTTCGGGAAGCTTGGTCGAGAAGCTGCCCTGGGGAAAATTTTAGAGTGAATTACAGATTTCGTCGTGATGTAATATTACAGTCTAGTAAGCACAAAATAAAAAATACGAAAAAATGTAAAAGAATATTCCTGAAATTGTTTAATTTGTGATTGTATTATCGTGATGACAGTTTATTCTAGACATACGAAAGTATTCATGAAGCACGGAAGTATAAAAGATTGCAAGCAGTTTTTAAAAAATGTTTTTGTTTGCTATTAATTTATTGATACACCGTGATATCTTTAAACAGTTCGAATTTTATTTATCGGTGAGAGTGACGAATCAGACATCTAATTATATCTTTTTGTGATCCATTCGCACAAATTTATCTTTTCCATCTACAAATAATATGACAAACTAAGAATAACAAACATACATTTATTTTGCATACTTGCATAATGCAAACTATATTTAAACGACTTTTTTGCGATATTTGTTATTGGTTTCATTGAATACTCGCTATTTTAATTTGCATTCTCTACATAGTCGTCACTCAGCCTTATAATCCGGAGATAATGACTGAATACGTTATAAGAGGAAACAGCGCGATCTTAAAATGCAGCATTCCCAGTTACATCGCAGAATTTGTTACTGTCGAGGCGTGGATTCGCGAAGATGGAGAGGTTTATCTTCCGGAGGATTCTGCAGTCGTACAGGGTACTGCAGATCCATCCTCAATTATTTTAGGCATCCCATCTAAAATTTGTATATGAATTAGGTTGCCGTATATTAATTTTTTACATTAAATTAGTCTTTTGCAATTTAATTCTAATAGAAAAGATATTGAAAGTAAAAGTGTGCCACAGTAGTTTAATTTAAACTTTTAAGAAATTGAGGAAAAAATAATCTCAAAATTAAGAAAATTAAATTTAGATTAACTTTTTCAGGTTTTTAAGAAAATGAATTAAAAACGTTATTACGTTGACTTTTTTCTTTGTCGCCTAATCATATGCAAATTTGTTGCGAAAGACATCAGTCGCTTATTTGTGTCCATGACATATCTTTAACCAAAATAACATATTTACTCTTTCTCTTACAATCCTATTGAAACATTTACGTAGTACATATTTTATTGTCCGTCGCTTTAACTCCTTGAGAAATATGCATTTTTATAAAAATACATATTTACAAAAATATTACATAATTAACATGAGGTATCTTCTGTAAAAAAATATGAAACAAATTTTTAAATTTTTGTTTCATTGATTTATTTCGTATAAAGTGATATGAATTAATTTTTTCATCATTATGTAACTAGAAACCTATAATGGTCAAACTCTTAAAGAAATGTTTCACTTTCCATCGCGTCTCAAAGAGTTAACACGTTGCCCGCGCCGGCAGTCGTTTCGCAGTTTTACGTCACCGAAGCCGAGAACGAGTACGTGATCCGGGCTAATAGCGCGATCATGAAATGCAAAATACCGAGCTTCGTGTCCGAGTTCATCTACGTGGATCAGTGGGTAGCCGACGATGGGACGATTTACATGCCCGGACAGGAGTACGGTATGATACCGGTCGATGTAGTATGCATTGTTGGGACTTGGAACAATTTCTGTATTCTCTTCTTTTCCCGCATTCTCATCTCCCTCCCTCAAATGAATTCGCGACACTTTCTTCTCGTTCGATCCCCGACAATTGTCGGCTGCAACTCGCGGTCATTTCGACTTTTACTTTCGAATCTGCTACAGTCTAGTGTAATCAAACACAATGAAAAAGAATTGCGTTTATGAGCATATTTTAGTGTTACGAGATAAATATCATGTCAAAGACATGTCAATGATTATACGAAAATAGATCTGAAAGCGATAATAGTTTCAGCGACGCAAAACATGATAGCATTATAGAATTTTAATCGTCTTTCGGTTCAGTTCGAGTAGCGTGCGTCAAAGCAGATAAATTATGATCAGATATATTAAATCATGACGTTACATCATGATCTCTTCGAGAATTCGCGCATTGCAGTGGTTCAACAATTCTACGAGACGAGGGTCATCGACGAGTTCGTCTTACGCGGAAATGCGGCAACTTTGAAGTGCCTCGTGCCCAGCTTTGTGGCGGATTTCGTAGATGTGATTGAGTGGCAGGCTGAGGATGGCTCCATGTATAACGCGAATAGTCAACAGGAAAAGGGTACTTAACGTTATGCCAGTTGCACGAAATTAACATTAACGGAGTAATATTGTTTTAATCTTTTGTGACATTTAATTTTTCATTCCACAATCCTAAAAAAAATTAGTTGTTCTGTAATGGAATTTTTTGTTTACCTTTTCTAGACAAATCATATTTCTTTTTGTGTATCCTCTTAAAACCTGTCAATATATTTACTTTCATGATGAACCATCTTGCAAATTAAATTACGATATGCTCGTCTCAGATGAATAGAGATGGTCTATCCGTGCATATATGAGGCACATACGTTATTCGGCAGGACGCGCATTCTCGGATAGTGGAAAGAAGGGTTGGTGGTTGATGGAATGGAACGCGGATCTTGCCGAAAGTTTGCCCTTTCCGATTCAGCGATCGGCAAGGGTGAATAGAGGCAGAGCATGCGGCTGGCAGTGACTTCGTTCGGTGTGATCCTCGGATTAGGTTAAGCCGGATTAATCGGGTCGAGAAGCAAATTAACGCCCGCGCGATTCTAGTTTGATCCACTTTCGGTAGAGAAAGAGAGAGAGAAAAAGATAATCGTTAAAAGATTATCTCTGGCGACGTAATCGAATTTACTTTACGGCCGCAAAGTCAGTACCGGAAGACATTATGATATTAATTAATAAAGTATATAACAAACATTAATGTATTAAATTTATTTTGTTTCAATCATACTGTCATATATGAATAATCGTAATTACGCTCTTTTAATTAATTCGTGGACACAAATATTATTGCTTAAAGCATTATTGCATATTTCAAATATAGGTAGTGAAATCTTTTAATTAATCAGAATATTAATGCGATAAGAATAGAAATTATGATATAATTTTTGACATAAAACTTGGTTTATGATTGCTTTGAAAAATATTATTTTAAGAACACGAGTCATCTTCAATAATCTCTCATCTTCTGAATTGCAACATTTCAGTATGTCATTCGCAAAATGTGAAATTGCTGTAAAATTAGACGATGAGAGCGCGGGTTTACTCGTAGGCATAATTTGCTATTAGATTAAGTCGGATTAATCGGATTGGTGTCCATCGTGCAATCAAAATTTGCTACGCTTGATGGAGGCACGACCGGAAACTAGTTGCAGCAGTCAGTTTGCCGACAGCCAGGTTCATTGAAATTTTAATCGGCGCGATCGCGATCAAAGCGTGCACCGACGACACTCACAGCTAGAACAAACGTTAAACTCTTTTTTTCTCGCTTCATTGCAGTGGTCGCCCAGTACTTTGAAGTTCAAGTTTACGATCAGTTTGCGATACGCGGCAACGCGGCTATTTTCAAATGTCAAGTTCCCTCGTTCGTGGCCGACCACGTGGACGTGGTGGGATGGATCGATTCCAACGGCGGCAGTTACGTCGCCGACGAGCAATCATATGGTAGTCAAAAATGAAAGGATACACGTTGCATCGTATTTTTTTTTTTTCCTTGCAAACCGAAAGGGCACAGGTTCTCCTTAGAGAAGGCGCAAATCACCAAATAAGAGAACTGGCTCGATCATCGAGTTATTCGATATCTTGAGCGTACTTTCTCTCCTTTTCTCTTATCAATGCCACGCATTATGTTTCTTTGTTTTAAGCGTATAAAATGCATGTAGCGTAAATAGATATCGTTTCCGTGTATATCGTTGCGATGTATATCTGCACGCAACTTGTTTATTGAATACATGCAATGAATTGTAATATTGAATATCGATCGTGTCTATTTCAAGACCGGTCGTGCGACCAGTTCTCTTTGACAAACGCAGGAACGTATTCTTCACAGCTGTCCGTGACAATAGGACTTATTTTAATTCACGGACGTGACGGTGACGTGAATAAAATTCCTGATAATGATTCCTTGCAAACCGAAAGGGCACAGGTTCTCCTTAGAGAAGGCGCAAATCACCAAATAAGAGAACTGGCTCGATCATCGAGTTATTCGATATCTTGAGCGTACTTTCTCTCCTTTTCTCTTATCAATGCCACGCATTATGTTTCTTTGTTTTAAGCGTATAAAATGCATGTAGCGTAAATAGATATCGTTTCCGTGTATATCGTTGCGATGTATATCTGCACGCAACTTGTTTATTGAATACATGCAATGAATTGTAATATTGAATATCGATCGTGTCTATTTCAAGACCGGTCGTGCGACCAGTTCTCTTTGACAAACGCAGGAACGTATTCTTCACAGCTGTCCGTGACAATAGGACTTATTTTAATTCACGGACGTGACGGTGACGTGAATAAAATTCCTGATAATGATATATTCATATTTGATATATTATCGAACGGAGTTTATCGAGTTATTGAAAATAGTTATGATTACTTACGAGTTTGAGAGTATAATGTCTAAATTGTTTGTCGAGCACCAACTTTCACCATAAATTCTGGCACAGTTTAATTACATAATTACTAAAATATTTTTGTGCTTAATTAAGCAAATAACCGGTTTTGTTATACATATTAATAAGATATTTCTGAGCATAAATTTTATTTCGTAATATAAATTTTGTAGTGATACGAAATGTCGTAATATTAGCATTGCTCGCTGCATGAACATTCAAAGTGGATTCGTTAAAGCGTAAAATAAATTCAATATTTTGTCGGCTAACAAACTGTCTGAATTAGTATAATAAACGTTATGCAATATATTTTCCGGTCTGATTTCTCTGAAATAATGCATAAATGTTGATTTCGAAATATATCTATAAGCCAACTTTTTAATAAATCAAATTTAGTTAAGGAAATACTAAACCATTGCGTAATAAACTGGAACTGAAATTAAATTATTTAAAATAGAATGTTTTTAAGAACAATGTGTTTTAAAAACTCGCGTAAACATATAATAAGATCAGAAATAAAAAAATATTCAGTATTCAACACAAATATTGGGTTATTAATATTCAGCTATTAATCATTAATCACAATACTTTGTGTTTATCGTAAGAAAACTTTTAAATTTTTTTAAAAATTCTGTCTATTATTAAAATCGTCAATTGTTGAACGATCGACACGTCCTGTTAGATTGGAGATTTGCGTCTTATGGTAAAACCGGAAACCGGTGTCTGGTTGCAGTTGTCGGGCAGCGGTATGCAGTGAACGTGATGGACGAACACGTCCTTCGGGGGAACGCCGCAATTATCAAGTGTCACATACCGAGCTTCGTCGCCGAATTCGTCGAGGTTGACTCTTGGATTGAAGACGAGACTACTGATATATATCCTAGCGCCGATTACGGTACACGATGTATAACATTTCATGTGTTATCTTCATTCTGCTCGAATGTCGCGTGAATCTTCTATCTCTAAGACGCTGCAAAATTGGCACATCTACAAAATTGATACATTTCGCAAAAAATTCTCGAGAGATAAACGCACGGAATGTGTTCTGTGAACGGAATTATATTTTATTTTTGGATTTCTTCTCATTTATGTTATTCTATCATCAAAATTATATATTTCGTGAGGTAATATTTCTGCAGAAATATTTCTACTATTTTCTTATACATTTGTATTACGGTAAAATACGTTTTTTTCGCTTTACTCGTTCGATAAAGTCAGAATTATGGTGCTCGGTAAGCTATTAGTATATCGTAATGTAGTTCAAGGATTCTCTCATGAATCGTCCGATCATCATTCAGTAATGACACTCCGCTTGACGATCGCTTTTGTGTTTATGCAAAAATTATCCTCGGCTCGACCGTGACATATAACAATGCGACCTTCATTTACAAAATCTGCAATACGATGGTCTCACACAAATTTTAACAAATATGGAAACGCATAGGGAAAAAGAGAATGGCGAGAAAAGGAAATGAATTTTTTTTATCGAACACACTTAGTTGCCAAGTGGCAGAAATATAAATCCAGGTCGTCTAAATCGTTCCATCAGTCTTCGACTCTATCGACCAAGTAATCAATCGAACTACGCAATTGTATCACGACACGCGTGCAAACTGCAAGATATATTTGTAATCGGACGCCCCTCGTTTCAAAACTGCCGTGCAATGCGGGATTCTATATAAAAATTTATACGACGTTGACTGCCGCTGCTCGCGCTGTTCCAGACCTCTCTTCCTCTTTTCCACCGATTTTTTTCCGGTCATTTGATCGGTCTATCCGTCTCTTCTCATCTGTGTCCTCCTCTGTGTGTGATAGTAGCTAAATGGTTATGGATACCGCTTGTGTGTGTGATTGCATGTAACTAGTTCGCCTATCCAGGAAGTCTAGTTCGCCAATGAGACTCGGCCGCAAAAGCGATCAGATTCGTTAGAGGCGTTGAAACTGCACTTTCAACCACAATAGAGAATAACTAAAACGGATTAACGAACGGTACGTTATATCTCGTTTATTAAGGCAAAAGTAATTTGCATTAAATGATGCTGTATTGCATACGTAGATATTTAATTAATTTAGATATTGTGAAGAGATTTAATATTTGAGATAATTAATATCTGAAAATAAAATAATAAGAACGTCTTTAAAAACGTTTATTAATAATACCTATATTGCTAATAAATTTTATAGATTTTTTATATATAGGATGAAAAAAGGTGTCATCTTAGTCTCTCCATTTTTATTATAACAAACACAAAGAATAGATTTCCTGGATGCTTCAATGAGCAAGAGTAATGTTGCGCGCTTTTGTATTTTCACTTATAAAAAAATAAAAGTGTGATTCTGCATAATATCTTTTTTATGCGACGCAAGATTCCCATGCTGTTGTTTGGCGAACGTGCTTGGGTTTCGTAAAGAATTCGTCGAATGTTGAAGCGGGAGATTGACGAAGGGTCCGTGGCGATTCAGCGTTCGACGAAGGACACCGCATGTTTATTAATCAAGACGGCATTATGCTCGAAGTACATATTTCGCGATTTTATATCTTTGTATCATTCGAGCATCGTGCGACTGCATTGTGCATCGGGATAATCGATTTCTCCTTGATACTAATAATACGCCTGTAATTAAACAAATAATCAATTAAATGATTGATGATATTATGCGATATTAAACGCAGTAATCAGTTGATCGATTATCCTGACGAGTCATGTAAGAGTGGGATTAATGTGCAATAACTAATGTGTGCTATTCTGAACGGGTTTAGATGGAAAATACTTGGTACTGCCATCCGGAGAATTGCACATCAGGGACGTCGGACCCGAAGATGGATATAAGACTTATCAATGTCGCACAAAACACAGACTCACAGGTGAAACTAGACTATCCGCTACGAAGGGACGTCTCGTCATTACTGGTGAGTCAAAACGCAAAAGTGTCTTATTCCTTTTATACGGAAATTACGATTCTGATTCGACATCGTTCTCTATAGAAACATTTCTCGATAATCCTTCAATGTAATCGGAAGGGTACAGCTTCATTAATCAGCGTTCTGCATCTGTTTCTCAAATGAAATCAGAATCGTATTTCTAGTTTCGGACCTGGATACCATAATTCATACTTTCAATTTGATAGAGAGATTAGTATAAATTGATTGCAGTATTTATTTTATGTAAAAAAAAGATAGTTTTAATTATAAAACATAATTACAAAATAAATATTTTTTAATAAAATCATTCTTGCTTAACGATTTGTTTATCTGTCGATATAATAAATATAAAGACTTAACACAACACACATTATACAACAAAAATTTATAATATTATATATATAAATATTATTTTATATATCTCTTATATACAATCCAAAAAAATTTAGAAATGTCAATTTTTTAATGTCTTTAGCATAAATTATTCATCACATTGCGAGGTGTCTGGGTTCGAAACTATTATCCAAGAGACAATTGATTTTTTTATAACAGAAGAATTTTATATAAAATTGATATTTCAAGCAATATCATTATTTAATCTATGTTAATTTTATCATTAGACAAAGTATTTTTATATTGTTGGAAAGTCGATTGTCTCTTCGGATCTATAATCACGTTCAACGAACGTGCAATCGTTTGGGCCAACGAGCTTGATCGACTCTCACTCGGTTTCTTAGAAAATTATAATTGTTAAGAAAGGTTATTCGATTTTTAGATCAGCATTTAAATTTTATTGTTTTAAAGAGGTCGATACGCATGTATATATTTGGCGCGATCAAGCTCGCGGGTGAACCTGAATGCTGGGACAGGGTACCCCTGCGGGCACGCGCCACCGCCCCGCCCAAAACTCGACTCTTGGCATGATCGGTTTCGAGAGTAATTGTGCTTAAAGAAAGATAAATGAAAAGAAAGAAATATATATACATGATTTGGGTTGCGAAATTCTTTCGACGCTCCGCGGCGCCTTCCGCGATCTCCGGGCTCTGTCCTTCGCTCTCGCGTGGTAAGTTTACGGAACATGTTCTTTCAGCTAAGAATTTCATTGTGTGGACGTTGCGCACGTTCAATAAACGTGGCATTAAACGCATCTGAGCTGCGTTCTGTGCTGCTAATTAGGCGAGATCGATCGAATCATTTTTTGCCTTTACAGCAAATTAGCAGTGATATTTAAACCGTTAAGTGCGACAGTGGTATCAGCTGCGTCTCTCCTTATTAAAAGAAAAAGAAGTATTACTGCATTTTTAATTTTGCTATCTTTTTATAAATATTAAAAACTTTAAATCAATTACATATGAAAGTAATATATGTAAATATTTTACTTTTAATTATATCTTTATTCGTGATTTATATATTATTATATATATTTTACTCAACGGTTTATCTTATCGCGTAATTCGGTTAATTCAAAGCCAAGTGTAAAATTCTCTCTAATATACTTCAAAGGATTCTCTGTATTACAATGAGATATTGAGTGCGAAATTACTTTCGCTTCGCCACTCTCGCATAGCTATTGAGTACTAATCGGCAGGATGACATTGATAAGCGAATCGCTTTGTTCGTACGAGGCGAACCGCGCAATATCGCAAAGGCAAACTTGTCGAGCCATTGACAGTGCGCAATGCAACAATTTAGGAGCTAACTAGAGCAAGATGCAATATAGCCATAATAACGATGATTAACGGAACGAACGGGGAGGCTTGGCAAGGGCTTGACACAACTCTCTTTATACGAGTCTCATGACTGGCTTTTTGTTATGCAAAACCCATGGGGAGTGTACAATCAAAGTTTTCTACGATGAACAACTTAAACGGATTTTCCGTGAGCTTGAAAGGCAACATACCATTTTTGTGCCCTCCTCAAAGATGATCAATACCGTAGGTACGATAATCTTGAATGCAGAATAATTTGTGGTTGTCCACTGGAAATTTAAATTTTTTTATACGAGACAGCATCAATATTACTTAATGACGAAATGATGAATTACATATTTTTCCTTATCTATACTGTAAATAATGATAAAATGACAGGATATAAAGATATATATGTAATAGCGGATTAAAATCAAAATTGCAAGAGCAGATTATTAATTGCTTCTGCTTAAAAATGATAAAATTAAATGTATTATATGTATTACGGATAAAAAAAACAGAAAAATTTTTATTAACTAAATGGTCGTGATATATTATACTTTTTGATTTTAATTAGATTTTTCATTGTCAATCCAGGTGTTATTTAAATTAAGAATGTGTCGGATCAATGATCAATGAATGAGATTTATATATTAGATGTTTTTGATATTTTATAGTTATGATATATAAAATTATTATAACACATCTTTTTGCAAAATATTTTGCTCTTTTGCAAGATAGCGTGTGTATATATTTAGCATAGGGGTTCCCTGTTCCTTTTCACTGATTTAGATAGATTATCTAGTATTATCGTTCTTTAAGACATGAAAATTACTTGTAATTAATTCATCATCCATCCTTCGGAAAGGATAAATTCGTACTTTATATTATATCAAAGTTACAACCGGGAGACGCAAAAACAAAAACGACGTGCTTTTTAGAACCGGTGGGCAGCGTACGTCCAAAGATTCCGTCGACAGATGACATACGTGGCATCCGGACGTTCGTCGGAGGCTCTCTGGTCCTGATATGCCCGGCACAGGGGTTCCCCGTTCCCCTGTACAGGTAGAGACATTAACAGAACGCGAATCCTTCGGGATGACCGTTCGCCGCGGACGCGCAAGTCCCAATTATAAACGATATGATCAGAGCCGATCGGCAGCGTGAGGCCCAAGTTTCCGACGATCGACGACTCCAGGAGTTTTCGCACGACGAAGGACGGCTCGGTTACGTTGCTGTGCCCCGCTCAGGGGTTCCCTGTTCCCTTGTACAAGTAAGTCGCTCAGGGCGCGGAAATCATTACGTGTTTTCTTCTTTTTCTTTCTTCTTCCTGGATCCCATGATGTGACAGAACCCGTGGGAAGCGTACGCCCGAAATTCCCCAGCATCAGCAATATAAACGGCCTCGTTACATTCACAAATGGAACTTTGCCGCTCTTGTGCCCTGCTCAGGGCTTCCCGGTTCCATCACATAGGTATTATATCATTGAATGTCACACTAGAGTCTCTTGCGAGTCTTGGTTCTCCATTTAGGAATTGCGATTAAATATTCCGTACTTACGGTGAAGCTGGTAATTAGCAATGATAGCACGTCTTACATTATTACGGTTTTCGTTTCACATTACATCTTTTTTAAATTAGCGATATAGTTTCAATTTAATATGGTCTTTAATAAACGTATAACTGCATTTTATAAGGATTTTATTTATAATTTTATTTTTTCTTGTTTTAATATATCTTTTTGTTCATAAAAATTTAATGATATTTTTGTAATACAATAATTAGAGAGAGAGATAGAAAGGAAAGACTTTATTTCATTTTTTAAGACTAAATGTGAGACAAAAATCATTTGCATCTGCAATCTTTGTGCACGCAGAAATCGTCGCAGCGCCGAAAGATAAAATCGCGCCACGTTAATGCTTTTATGATCGATCACAAAATCTCAGAAAATTTGAAAGCGTCTTTAGGGGTTCCCCGTCGTCTTATACGGTATCTCAAAAGGCGATAGTACATATATATTTGATTAAATAATGTTTAGAGCCGGTCGGCAGCGCGAAACCAAAATTTCCGACGATAGACGACATCAGAGGATTTCGCATGATTAAAGATGGATCTGCAACTTTGTTGTGCCCCGCTCAAGGGTTCCCTGTTCCGTTTCACAAGTAAGTCGAAATTCGCGATTCGTTGCATCGTTGTTTTCTCTCATAATTGTCCTCTTCTTCCCTCGGGCTGTGACTGACAGAGCCTGTAGCAAGCGCACGTCCAAAACTTTCAAGTACCATCAACTTGATTGGACTCGTGACGAAGATCAGCGAAAGCTTGCCGCTTTTTTGTCCTGCGCAGGGATTTCCGCTTCCGTCTTATAGGTAGGATAAATTGTCTCTCTCTCTCTCTCTCTCTCTCTCTCTCTCTCTCTCTCTCTCAAGTCGGTTATAATACAGTTTTACAAGTTCTTAAAATAATGCATTTTACGGGAAACAAAAAATTTTAATAAGCTAGGCATTTTTTATAATAATTCCTGATATTTAAAAAATATTGAATTATGACATGGAAGTGTAACATCTGGGTAAATAAGGAATTTCGAGCTGATTACCTTCTTTTAATACGTTCAAGGGATTCCCTGTCCCCAGGCATACATAAATGATGGCATTGTCATGTTGTCAGCACGTTTCTGACACGTTTCCTTTCACACTCGGTCTTTTTGTAGAACCCGTAGGGAGCGTACGCCCAAAGTTTCCGACAATGGACAACTCGCGTGGATTTGTCTCGCATCAAGGAGACACTTTGACTCTACCCTGCCCTGCTCAAGGGTTCCCCGTTCCGTCGCATAGGTGGGAAAAGGTTATATCGCGGTATATTTAGATTTTAGGAATAATGAATGAAATTATAATACGGAAGCGGCAGAAACAATATGCGAGCGACGAGCAATTAAAATCGCAACTATTTTTTCAATATTACACAACAATTTAACAAATTTATTTTTTATTATATATTTTTTAAAATTGTTTTATTCGAAAATATTTGTTTATTAATTAATAACGCATTTCAGTAAATATAAAATATAAATATGACCTGTCTCAGCAATCAGTTTTATAACAATTTAAATCGAAGGAAAATAAAAATTGTAGAAATTTTTTTTAGATTTTAAAAGCTGATCCTTCACAGTTGCGATAATGCGATTGTAGATTCGCGTTGTACGCTCGTCCTTTCTTTCGCTTTCTTATAGAACCAGTCGCCAGCACAAAACCAAAATTTCCGATGACAGAGAACTCGCGTACGTACACAGTTCACTGCGATCGG